ATGAGTGTCGCTTGCACTGGAAGAATGTATGAGAATACGCTTAAACCCTCGAATTTTTTGGCGCATATATAATATATTTGAAAAATGGGTCAGATAGAATAAAGACAAGAATTTAATGTGAGATCATATTTGGTGTTTTTGGTCATAGAAATGTAAGCTGAGTTTCAATGGTCAATGTGACTTCAAAAGTCGAACAGGTCTCAGCTTTAGTTACATCAACTATTTCATCAATGTCCACCGACATTATGTTGACCACATTGTCATTTTCTGGTATAATTTATGTCAACTCTGTCCGCTCGTATTAATCCATCTGATAATTTAGAATTTCCCATTATTGGGCAATTACCAGCACGAATTTTCGTCTGCCGCCGGCAGTTACCCAATTAGGGTTCAGGGCAGTTGATTTTGTATTGAGTTACTAAATTACAAATACAGCTCAAGAACTAAAAAAAAAACGCAAGTGGGGCACATTATTATTCTTAGGTCCTAGTCACATAAAAGATAAAGTGAAGATTTCCTCCTTCATCCTCAAAATTTTAGGTTATTAGATCTATGTCTATCGTCAATATTTCATGGTGCTGGTATCCATGTTTAAAGTTGCGTTCTGGAAGTTACCATCTAAGGTGTATATAAGACTATAAATACAATAATTATATATAATAATATCTTTATCTTGTTCCATTGTAGTCAATCACTGTCCAGAACATTATAATCTTATACAGTTTTTATTTTCAAATGACCACAAACAGTCCCGTTGCTGAAAACCTTTTTTTACGTCCCGAGTAAAGTCCTTGTAGGGAGTAACAGACCTTGAATCAATTTTTTGGACACTGTTCTGAAACAATACAATGTGCTTAAAGAATTAGTATGCTATTCTTGGTTAGAAAAAATATTAAATTTGATTGAAAGACAGAGCTGTTTTGTGGTGTTCTTCTGCTGTGACTCCTCAACCGCGATCTGAAAAATTTTGTCATGAACACAATTTTTATCGCGGAAATATTCAAATAATCAAATACTTTGGCATTGTTGACATATTATAATGACGCAAACAAATCAAAATTAGACAGCATTTCAGAAATGAAATGACATGAATGGAGTTTTACGTCCTACGTTTTTGCATCATGCGTGCTAATTAAGACTGGCAACGCCATGCAGGGTACAAATTTTGCCAGGACAGCAATATTAGCCTGCTCTTTTTCGATTTCTAACTGTCGAGGAATCTGTAACATGCACAGCCTGTAGCACACGGTGCCTCGGTTTATTGTCTCATCCAAACGACTAGACACTTTATCCATGTCAGCTCATCTTACTTGCATCACTGACATGGGGAAACTGAGTTGAAAAGTCCGGAAGTATCATCTCGACCTATGCCGGAATAGAGCAATCAAACTCACTGAACCACAGCGGCTACTGACACATTCAGAGCAGGAATGTCGAATGTATCATTTCAGAGCAAGAATGTTGAAGGTAGTAACCCTTACAATAAACACATAAGAAAACTTCTCGATCTCCCCATCTCGATATTTGCTTGAAGCCTATACGTGGTCCACAATGTCTGTTTTATACATTACAACAATCTGATCAACTACTCCATGTACCACTCAATTTAGTGTTTCGAGAATGGAAAAGACGATCGTCAGCAAAATGGCAACTTACCTTTAACATCTACAAGGGCACTCCGCCCCTATATATGTTTTGTTATGTTTTCATTCACTTAAAAATAATCTGATTATCCAAGTGGAAAATTGAAAGAAAGAGAAAACGGGAAAATAGTTAGGATGTCCAGTAGAGAGGCAAATTTGGTTTTGCGGGTTTTTAACCTAAAAGGGATATACTTGATTTTAGATAATAGGGGTTTCATGGTAGAAAGAAAATTATTATAGTTTGGTCGATAAAGGGCAGTCCGAGATTTAAAATTTTGAATTAGAGCGTAAATCTATGGTCATGGTATTGATGTAACTTTGTGTGAGCGTCAAAAGACATACTGGTAAACAAAATTTAAGATGTCGAAGGTCGAAGTAAGGGTTGAAACAGTAACTTAGGCTTTAAAGATTTCCCCTCACTGCTGTAGCTTTACCGTGGATCATTGAAGCAAACTTGATCGAACACGAGTAGATTAACAGTTTACCAGTGGGAGATATGGATTAAAGCGGATTAGATCGTATTAGGTGTATTGAAATACATTTTTTTATGATTTCGCTGTCATCAGTGGTTGCCATTTTATTGCTTTGGATATTGTTATATACATGTTTATTTGTCTTCTAATTGATACTATATATGGCTTTCTTATTGTGAGTGAATACTTGGATTAGACTCTTTTTTGAGTATTTCGGAAGCTGTTACTTATACAACTAGCCATTAAGAAACATCGATATCCAGTACGTCTGAAGGTAAGCGTACTCTCATTGGAACCCCGGGTGTCAGCCGACACGTTCCTATTTGAAACTGCAATTCTGGATTGTTGCTATGATATACTATGAACTTTTAACATTTTATCATTTTATAATTGAATGCAATTTATTATTGGATAAGAACTGAAATATATCAGTTCTTTTTAAACTTTTTTTCATATTCGAGGTAATCATTTAAAGAGATACGATCCACCCACAAATTTACCATTTAACATTTAAAACTGCATGAAGCAATCTGATTTGAAATGTTATATTTATTTAACTATCAAATATTCCGATTTTTTTCATATACAACGGTTTGATGAATATGCCCATCAACCAATGAAAGCATCCTATCATCGTTGATACTATATTTCGTTTAGTATAATTTGTATACAAAGCTACTACTAGTGTGTAATCTTGATGTTGGAGGGGTTTCAAACTTTTTTTTCTATTAACCATTCAGAATTCTTGACCGATTGTATTACCCCTTCCCCCTATAAAACCTTGCCATATCGCAATTTTTTCTTTTGTCTGTAATCTTGTTCATGTGAGAATATATCCTGAATATGTGCCTGATTGAATATGTGACTAAAGCGCTGAGCCTAAATGACATTGTGCCGAATATTACTGTGCCTAAAGAGTGTGTGCCTAAGTGAATATATGTGCTTAATTATTGCCTAAATAACGCTGTGCCTAAAAGAAGTTTGACTTCAGTACCGTGTCTAACTGTCTTGTGCTTAAAAGATATGTGCCCAAATGACTGCTTACACAAATTTTACCAGGAAAATGGCATGAACATTTTATCTCAGTTTCCAACAGTGGAGATCGTAGGCATATTTCACTATTTAAAATATGCAATGTTGATTTTGACAGATTAATTGACTAGCCTGACCTTTCCCAGCCCATGACAACCTTTCAAAATTAACGTGTAATTGATCATTTAAACTCTGTTATTATTATGTCACACTCAATAGTCTCCTTTCAATTGGAATTTTTATCTATTTCAAATACTAGTATAAGGCATTTGAAGGGGTCAATCGTCAAACTATTTACTTAAAGATTTGCATTTAATAGTTTTCTGACTATTTTCTTCTAAGAGGGGTACAGTAAAGTAATTAAACTATTCATAGAAAGGGTCTTGTTGTCGAACTATTCGCTGAAAGCGGTAAAGTTATCGAACTATTCGCTTGAATAGTAAAGGTATCGAACTATTCGTTTAAAGGGGTACAGCTATCTAAATATTCGTTTAAAAGGTTACAATTATCAACTATTTGCTCAAAGGGTTACAGTAGTTATCGAACTATTCGTTAAAGCTGTAATCTAACTATTCGCCTCAGGGGATACAGTTTGCTCTATGGGTTACAGTTAGCGAACTACACGTATTCGTTTAATGGGATTCAGCTATCGAACTATCGTTTAAAAGGGTACATTCATCGAATTATTCGTCTAAAGCGGCAATATGGTACTATTCGTTTAAGGGGTACAGTTATAGAACCATTTGTTTAAAGCGGCAGTCTTCTCGAACTACGTATTTGTGTATATTCATCTTTAGTGTGAGCGTTATGAACTCTGCAATTATGGCCTAAGAAATAAAAAGTATAAAAAGATCTTGATAATGTGGTCTATATAATTTATTCTATTGCTTCGTATTGTTCTGTATAATTTCTTTATATGTATAAGATTATCAAGAAATGAACAAACTAATCTTTTCAGTTTGAAGGGTCCCTTTAAGGGCCCCATTATGTCGATATGAACGTTCTAGTCCCTGTTTAAGAAGGTGTATAAAAAGATATAGAGTAGACCGTTTAAAGATTTTCCGTGTTAAGTTGTCATGTTAAATGTTCGCCTCATTTAACAAGCTCAATATTATATGTATACAGTTGCTCGCTCACATGTTTTGTGAGGTGATTATACTTATAATTGTAAGGACTGTTATATCTAGTGTAATATCTTGTCAAATATAATGTATAGTCACTGCATTGGCAAACAAACAAATTTTGATAAAAAATTTTGCTTGAGGGAACAGGAATCCGCAAAAAGTTGCTTCAGAAAGTTTAGTGTCTCCACAAAGAGTTTGCTATTTCTGAATATTCCGATAATCACATCAAAATCACACCATTCCTTTTCTGAGCCAGGGACGCTATTTGATCTAGGATTTGTCATCAGCCTCTTCAGAGAGCCTCTGCTGGTTCATAATATCACGGAGCGTTTCAAGTGGCGTGAGGTTCCGTGCAAAATTTTCCAAGGGCACACCCAAGAAACGCCAATGCTACATCTTCGACTATAAAGAGACACACAGACCGACTTCAGATCATCCAGTGTTGATGATGTTAACTAACAAACTGTACATTTTGTCTGATATTATGACAGTGCCAGTTTCATAGTGAATAGTTCCAGCCAAGAGACACACCAGACGCAATTTTATTAAATACGATAGATGGTTGCATTTCACAACTACACATTATTTTTACATTTAAATATTTAATGTGGTTTTAATTCCAGGTCAGTGTTGAAGAATCTTACAAGAGATGATTTTATGACAGAAAATTGAGGATTAACATCTTTATTAGTGCCACATTCCAAGAAAACCGAGTGTGGTCGGACGAAATGGAATACTCATGGATAATTCAAACTTTTATACTGATTACTATAGTAACTTATGTACAGGTATGTTCTTATTTCGTACTTTGGGTTGAGTTCTGTATGGACAATTTATATAATTCAATGACTCATCCATCAGTAAATTTACCTTCTTGCTATTTGTGCTCTTGGTCCTTTTCAGCTCTATATATTTTTTCTCCTTATCCATATTCTAGTTCCCCTTAGTCTAGCCTTGTTATTTCTCTACCTCTTATCATCGGACCAAACCGATATCTTGTCAAATCAACCTTCAACTTCTTCTTCACCTCCTTCTTCATCTGTCTTCTTCGTCCTCTTTTCGTTTCTTTGTTCTTCTTCCTATCTCCCCTTCTTCTTCCCCTTCTACCTTTCTTCTCAGCATTGGTCTAAACCAAGATCTTGCCAATTCGAATTGTCCTCCTGGTTTTTCTTCTTAATGTTCTTCCTCTTCTTCGTTTTCGCTTAATCTTCTTCTTATGCTAATACAGGAGTCAGAATGCCCATTCAGCTTCTTAGTAATTCGCCTAAAATATACTTTCTGTTACTTGCTTTTAGCATCTTCAGCAACCCATAAGGCAAGGGTAGCAACTAAACTAACCCTTGACGAAATATCCCGAATATGGAATTCATCTCGTATCTCACTTCTTTTTCATGGTGTATCGAATATGAGTAGTAGCATGGTGAGATATATTTCTAATAGTACAAATAGAATGTGGGAATGTCCTCAGTTCAGTTACAAAGAGAACATATCTTAGTAATAAATTCATTTGTTAGAGGGCAATATCTGATAATAATACCTATATAACATAATAAACAGCTTTATTTGTTAAAGACATTCCATACCGCAATAATATACTAATGTGCCTTCGAGATACTGGGACAGTCTGATTTAATATTATACAAAAGAAAAGGTAAAGTCTAGGTTTAAAATAGAATTATCGAGTCTTTAATGTTGGTATTTATATAGACATTTTAAGACGGACTGTTAAAAAGGACAACTATCTTGTAGCTTAAAGGGACAATACCAATCTTTTACCGTGGAAATGAAATGGCAGGACAGCGGCATTAGTCTGCTGTTTTTCGATTTCCAACTGTTGAGGGATCTATAACGTACACAGCCTGTAGCACACAGGGCCTCGGTTTATTGTCCCATCCGAACGACAAAACGCTTTTTCCATGTCAACCCCTCTTTCCTGCATCACTGACAGCGTATGTCGGGATTGAATCCTAGGTCGGTGCGCAAGTGTCTAACTCACTTAGCCACTACGGCTTTCGACAATACACTGGAGACTGGCTCAAAAACTTCTCATTCGATATTTGAAATAAACGCAAAGTATAATGCAAGAGGACATAACTCTATGCATAAGTATGATTTGAAATGGTTTCCTCATAACAATTAACCAGACGTGCGTTCTACAGTCTTGGAACAATTTTATTTGGAAAAGTAGCTTTCTGACAAACTTTCCCTAATACAACACTGCATGGCCTATTTTACATTGATAGGCTACTATTACCAATCATTACCCAAAACATTACCTTTAATCTGAAGATGTCGAGAATCTTTGTGAATACAATGAAATGTCTTCAGTACTTGTCTTGACCTCGTCTGACCCTACAACATTTTAAAACATCGCCATACCGTCCTATGGTTTGTTGTCCTTGACAATCATGTTGGAACGTCAACTATTTTGTTACTGTAAAATTTTACTGGACATGACGAAGAAAACTGGGTTTGTTTGTTGGAAGGTGTCTAGTTCAGCAACTCTTTTCTATCAAAAACAATATATAAAGTCGTTCGAATTTTCTAAAGTCGTTCGGGGTTGTATGGGGCTAATAATAACAAAGGTCCGGTACTCATGACAGATCTTTAGACAATTAACAAGGAGGAGATTAATGTCTTCATCATGGGAATCTTCGTCTATTACATACTGCACAATTAGCATAATCAGCAAAAAATAGCATGTAAAAATCATGTTCAATTTATTTGTTAAGTCACATTTTATAGAAAGTCGTTATCTGTGAGCATGTCATGACATTCCATCTACAATAATAATCACGAGAATTAAAAACTTGGGATCATTTCTTGTGGTCTTGCATTAGATATTAATGAAATGGAATTGAATCAGATTCGGGCATATCTCCTTTCCCCTAATATAAAGACTGATGACAGATGTGTACGTTTTTCCCGAACTTTTACTTAAAGGAACAACTGGCAAGTAAAGTTTGCTACTAGAATCATACTAAAATATTTTGTCTTACATGCCATGCAGTGGCATAATGACAGAGTATGCAAAGCACCGATATTGTTGAAACGAGAAATTGTGTCCTCAGACGACCTATCTACCGAGATGGCGTCTACTTAATAGGAGCTAAATAGTATATTGCGAAATGTCGTGATATACTATTAGTGGTATTGTAGATAGGTATATATAAAAGGTATAAGAGTAAAGTAGTAGATAAGTTAATATTACGTGATTGATATAAAGATATTATGGTTATTTTGGGACTTGAAATAATAGTAGGTGGTAGTAGCTAATGGACAATAATGGACAGTTAAATGGAAAAACCAATAGATATACAAGAACTGTTTTTCCTGAATTTGAATTTTAAAAATTTGCATGCGGAAAGCAATGTAAGAACTGCTTATTCACTTCAAAGTATTTGTTTACAGTCAGTTCTTTTGTCATGGCTTAGTCTTTTACAAGTGTAGCTCAGAATTGATTTTTCATCCGCACATTTTAAAAAGTAAAATGTAATTATTATTTAAAGGCCATGAAACTAATTGTGCGTACTCAGCAATTATTCAATCTCAATAACCCACGTAGGAATGTGAAACATAAATTCATATTTTTATTTCCCCATCGGTTGTTTATATTTTCAATTAAAATGAAACTAAATATATCGCACTAAACCTGGGGTTAAATAGCGGTGACATCAAAGTGTAGTTGAAGTACAGAATTATTTAATTTACATAGTATAAAGTGCAACCACTTTCACTTTCGTTGTATCAATATTTGAATTTTATATTAACCAATGCAAAAGATCTTTATGAAAAGACTACTGTTATTGTCGTTATAAAAAGACCTTACTTGTGCTTTTTGTGTGGTTCACTGAGACGCATTTAAAGGGAGAGATTCGTCATTTTCGAGCCATGAATATTTATTAATAGTCTTCAGAACTACTATAAGAGAAATGTACGAAACCCGCACAATTCCTGCAAAAAAACCTCAAACTGGGAATTTCTGTTTCAATATGTCTCTTCTATATGGCAATGAATCTAAAGATGCTCTACGGTTTCATGCCTTGCCCTTTTAGTCTTGCAATGTTCGTTTACGAATGCGATTTAAAATTGAGGGAACATCAACATCTGCAATATTGTAGTTATATGTGTATTTATATTATTTCAGTGCCGTGAGAAGGGAAGATGGGAAGATTGGGGGCAGTATTCATCCTGTTCCAGAACGTGTGGAGGTGGAGTTCAACATAGAAATAGACGATGTATTCGAGGAAGGTAAGTAGGCTATAAATTTCAAATTTTCAAACTTCTAAGACGGTTTACCAAAATATCTCAAACCTAACTTTGTAACAAGACCATTAATTGATGTGCAGCATTACCTGTACGGTGTTTTTACATGACTTGGTATAGATTGCTGGTTCAGATCCAGACCGTGGTCTCAAATTCTCAATCGTTCCCCCACCATTTCTATTGGTAACACATCGCACATCATGTCTGCCACTTTAATAAGTAAATCTGTTAGGGACTGAGGTAATAGGTATTCATGATGTTAAAAGATTTTTTAGATCGACCAATCAAAACGCCTTTACATACAGTTTGTTTTGTAAATATGAACACACAGTACAGGCAACCGTCTTTATTGTTTTTTTTTTCACTGCTTCGTATGTACTATGTAGAAAAAGTGAATAGCGGTCCTATGTATTTATTGATAAGTGGGCAATCCCCGCAAAAAGGAGCAAAAAACTTTGGTATTTTTATTAGTGGGGTCTTTACCACTTAAAAAATTACAAATATCCCTGGTGAGATTGACTAGAAGCTCGGTCAGAAAAATCTCTGAAAACTCACTCAACTAAGACAGGTGCTCTGACGAACTAACATATTGTGATATTTGAGTTATAAAAATAATGACCATAACTTTTTTACAACCCTGAGAAAACATATTAAACAATAATAAAAATAAGGTTTTAAGAAACAATGAGTTTACTTATTTCATTGATGTTATTTTTGATAATAAAAATGGTGTCGTGTTGGACAAGAAAGGGTTAAATTAAAACATAGATACGCTACATTACTTTTTATGTAATATAAACATACATTTTGACCTGTTTCGCTATAAACATCAATTTTATGGTGTTAAGATTTTTACTATTTTAAAGTATTTTTGGTTATAAAATGTAAGGTGTTATCGAAAGTGCTTCGGCTTAATCAATTTGGTTTCTAAAGTGTCCCATTATGGTTTCATAAGTTACTGTTGAAATACACATCACTATAGGTGTATATTTTCTGAAATTAATGCCATTTTTACTACTTTTAGGCTTGGTCTCTGATATGTGGCCCTGATATTCCTTACGTTTGTTTCTGTTGTCAGCATTTCATATGGTTACACAAGTTATCACCACAAATTGGATTGGGTTTTAGAAAAACTACTTTTCAAAACCCATCATCTCGTTCGACTTAGACATAGAAATAATGGAAATAAAAGAAAGCTTTACGTCGTAATGTCTCATTCCATCTTCGGGGACTACACCTTACTACAAATTTAAATATTTTACATTCTCGAAATGAATTTTTTATTAGATATGTCGGTTCGTTCAGTCTATGTTATAAATTTTAAATGAGATTTTTGACAGTCGACTAATGATGTTTTATTAAATTCCTTGAATGAAAAATTGCTAGAGAATTTTCACTTTATAAATTACAAGTCTGAATTGTATGACCTTGAATAATTAGCAAGGTCACACTCGTTAAAATCCTATTATTTTCATGACATCTTGTAGGCTGATTTAAGAAAGTTGACATAAGATGAATAGAATTTGTTTATATTAATTTTTTAAGCTATTCATCTTAAAGATGGATTCCGGCGAATATTTTCGGTGAGAACAAGCAATAATAACTGCATTGTTCCTATGAATGATTGGGATGTTCTGGTGTTTTAAGAATTTTAATAGAATGCATTAATTAGATTGTCCACCAGCGAATACAGCCATTCAGAGCCTTTGATTGAAAGACTAATCATTATGGCTTACTGTTTACAGACTTCCTGTCGAGGCCTGTGATTGGCATCACTGCATTTACAAACATTTGTGTCGAGGTATAAGACGAAGTTCTTAATTTCTTGACATTTTGAAGATGGAGCTAAGTACACAAACTGGGTTTAGCTGTTCTGGAAACACTATGGATATGTCATTTTACTGCTATCACCATATAAACTGTATGATTTAAATTTAATTGTTCTTTGTTTTTTACCGATCCACAATTTACATCCCTACAACCAGTGCTGCACTTGTAAAGTGTCATAAAGTACACGATATATTTTATGTACTTTTCTCAGTAATCATGTACAATTTATCTACTCGGGTGATACTCCTTTTAATCATAATATACATCTTTTCAAATATCACACAGGAAAATATGCTTAATATATTTAAGTCATCAATGAATGCATTGAAGGTGCATTAATAGACGTTTTTATCGCGTCCATCAAGTGAACTCTATGGAAGGGCAAAACATGCAGTCTAAGTCAATTGTGCATTGAATCTAATTATGACCGTTTTGCCCTTCCATAGAACTCGAATAATGGTGCACTTACATTAAAGATGATTTTGTATTAATGTGCATCCCAGGTTCCCATAAGGATCTTTTTGGTATTTAAGGTAGCATACCCCTTCACAGCTCTTGAAACCAAAAACAGTCATTTTATCCAAGTTTATCTTATTTTTTTCACTCTCTGACACAAACCAAAGTCGAATGAGTGGATAAACATAAAAAATTGAGGCGCTACTTAGTGATAATGTACATCAATTCTTGGCACTGCAGGCCTACACGAAAAAGTGACGAAATATCTTGATTAACCCCAGGGTTATTATTCACTGATGCCCCCATGCTTCACATAAGCATTCTACTGCAGACCTACCCTTGTGCTTATATGATAAACATATCACAAAAAGACACATTGGTTACATTGACAGGCCCTGCTTCACCCAAATTCCCTTGTGAATGCTTATTGAAGCTTGTAATTAGCCAACAGGAGGTCTCCACTACGTCTATTCCACTATCTAAACGCCTTCAATTGGGTAATTTTAACTCGCATTTTTCATTCACATTATAACCCTGTTTGTAATTTGAGTTGATTTCATTTATAAAATGTTTTTATTCAATTTTCGTGTTCATGTGTAAAATAGGATTTTTATATCTGCTAATTTACTAAATATTTAGTTCCCTTTCGCCACTTTTTGAGAAAATCTGAGCATTAATCTGTTTCTTATGTCGATTTTATTAACACCTTTTCAAGTGTTTTTCTTACAAATTCTATCTGAAAATGAGGTGTTTTTCTTACAAAAGAAGCTTATTGGATTCGTTAACATGGACAAGCCCAAAAATTCCTCGGATAACATATTGATGTTTATGAAATATTATAATGATATGTTTCAGTAGCCAAAATTTCAGTGTGTATATATATAATTGAATACTGTACATATGATTGGATAATGTACATATTGTAATTTCATCTACTGTACATATTCCGCATAATATGCAATAGCAACGATGCTCAGTTATATTCGTTTATGGGGGTTTGATATCGAGATTGGTACAGATTTATGTAGATTGTGGACAAATTTTCATACGAATCAATATCATTCACAGTATCATTAGCTTTTTCTCGGGTTCAGTGCAAAATGAAATGAATAGAGTTTTACGTCCTACTTTTCTTCAGTGGGTTCAGTGCAGCCGACAGTATAGCAACACATGACATTTAAGCTTTTGTCACGGAAATATTGGGTAATATGACAATGATAAACGATAACTTTTAGGTTACATTGATTGTTACAATTGAATGTGTCACACAAACTGAAAAAAAAAAAAGTCTGAATTCCTTTAACTATTTGACATGATGTTACAAGAGAACATCTTATGTTAAAAAACAATGGTGATATTGTTTCTTTATAACACAAACTTCTTTTATTTATACACATGAACAGGATAGTCCGAGAAAAATCCCTTAATTGTCTGTGATACATTAGAATTGTTAGAGAGTTTCTTTGGAGTCTTAATAGGTAGTGGTCAATCTGCAACTATAAAGGCTATCTACAAATTCAATTTCGTCAGACTTCCCAAATTCAAAAGGGAGCTAGCTAATCTTCATTTTCCAAGTAATGATGACATCAATTCCGCTATGAATGACTTTTTTTGCATTGCTGGCAAAAGCGTAATCTCGAAGGGGACAGAAGTAAACGAAAACCATCGACTTGATAAGGGTCTTAGAGCATTTCAGACAACCCTCGTATTTTCTAAAATAAAAGACAGACGTCCAACAGTCGGGCAATAACTGACTATAATTTTACTATTGTTCTGGTTTTTGACCACCTGTCGAGGCCAACAAACATACACTGTTCTTTCACGTAACCCTCAAATCAGATATAAAATATATTATTGTAAAAATTTGAAAGTTGACACTAGAAGTTAAAAAGCTTGTTGAGAAAGATTCCGGTTTCAAATAACTTAATCATTGAAATATAATATTTAATGTAATCATAATCGTGTGGTTATGACAATCCTACCTAATGGAGAAAGTTGTCTAACAATTGATAACCATATGATAGAAATTCATTCCATATTATCTTAACTGGATGCCTTAACCGATCCCTTTTGTAGTAAAATTGAACAGTGACTATGTCCATTTGCCGAATCTGTGATATAATTGTAGACGAACCGAGCGTCTGATCGGTATTGCGAGAAACAATATGAGTTTCTATCAACGTGTAAAACAAATGAATATTGTCTTTAAAGATCTCTTTATTTCTGTTAAACCAAAGATGCCACTTCGCATGAAGACAATTGTATACAAGAATTTTATTTTGAGAAATGATACGAGTGACTGAAGTCATGCACAATCAACATGTAAACTGAATTAATAGGCGACTATTCCTCTTAAAATATGTAAGTCATTTTACACAAAACCGAAACCTATGATGCCACTTCAGTTGCAAAATCAAACGTGGACATTTTAAGCCTACAGATTTGATGATTTCTATGTAAATTGAAGTAAAAACACCAAGATTTTCAGAAATACGATGAAGGTTTCCAAATCAATCTGAAATTGACCATCGACAGAGAACATGAGATCCAGATTTCCCCCAAACTGCTTAAATACAACTCGAAAACACAATTTTAAAATAAATCCATCATCTCACTTTTATTTATTTTTCTAAAAGAACAACTAACAAGTTAACTGTTGTTTGTATCCATCATGTTTGACAAATTACACGGAAGGTGATTTGTCAACTATCAGCAAGATGACACCCAAGGCTATTAAACCTCTTAACAAAATGAGATCGAACTTAATAAAAAACGCGCCATCTGAGAAATCGAAACCAATGGGTTTTACACCTGATGATTGTGGACACACTCTTGTCAGCTATTCCAGGTGTCACAGATTTGACAAAGGCAGATTCAGACAGCGGATAGGAGACGGAGATGGTATATGCAGCTTTAAAATTAAATCATTTTTCTAATAAAGTTTCGGGGTTACCTGCCAAAGAAACACAAATTTTTATTAATTTTCAAAAAAAAAAAAAATATGTGGATCCCAGAATACGTCACATTCAACACTATTGATTGTGGTCATTGACGATATTCCTTTTCAAAAAATTCCATGATTTTTTGGATTTGACAATTGAGGGCTGAAAAGAGGGAATGTAAACACTGTGCTAAAATCAGAATCAAACCTCTTCATCTGAATCTTGTATCCATTCTAATGATAAATAGGATGATAATTATCGTATCTACTGCATGGTGAAGTAAACAGCAAGGGGTCTCCCATTTTAACAATGGCTTATCGGTTTAACAAATTGCCCGTCATTTTAGTAACATTATAGGGGTATTAATTTGATATTAATTACTAGGTATGTTGAAAAAATGCTGACTTCATAGTATCGCTAGCGTGAGCAAAGTTTGATCATATCTCGTTTGTCCTTATTTTAATGGAGTAATTGAGCGTTTAATTACCGAAGTATATTTCAGTATTAAAAGCCGGTGTGTACTGTGGGAAAGGCTGGTGGTCACGAGGAAATCGAACCCTTATCAGAATTTTCGTATTTTTCTACTCTTTTTTGATGCATTTAAAATATATTCCATCGTCATGATTCCGCAAATAATAGACACAACCCATCCTCTGCGAACAACGAAGCGACTGAAAGGCAATATTTGAAAATTGCTTTTATTTAAAATTGCTTGCTATATTTTCAGATCTCATATGAATGGAATGTGTGTTGGTCCAGGGGTTGAATATTCATCTTGTAACACCCAGGTATTAAATAGTATTAAATCTATTCATAATGCCCTATGAACTCTGAGTTTTTATGAAAATAAAAAAATATTCCTACATCATATATCTCATAGCTACGGACTACAATAGTTTAACTCGATAAAGAGTTCTGTCCCCTCAACCATATTGGACCTCCATAAACCATTGTGAGGATGTCTTTAATTTATATTTCTGAACCACGATTAATGTAGGGTTATGATATTATATTAATAAATATAGTTATGTTGGAAGGTAATGGTATATCTATTATTAAATATGAGTTAGATGTGCAACTGCAATGGCTAATTGTAGCATTCCTTCCTTCCTTCCTTTACCCTCAACTAATTTGTTGAAAACAATTGACCTTTAAGACAATTCAAGGTCATTACATTTAAAAGTTTGAAATCCTGCCTAATAGAATATGCTAGGACATTTGTGAAAACTCACCAACCCGGCATAACTGGTAGACCCATTCAATTCTGAAGCTCTCCCTTGTTAGAGAACTTTCTGATTTGTTCCATTTCTTATACATTTCAGAAGCATATAATATCAAATTATCTTTCAATAAATTTCAGCCATGTCCTGCTGATGCCAAAGATTTCCGTAGCGACCAATGTTCTAGATATAGTCAGGTCAAGGTCAATGGTCGAAAGTATTCATGGCTACCCCATACAGGTAGGAAAGACGAAAATAATCATTGGAAAGTTATCATGATTGGCATGGTGTGATTAAATATACTAACTAAAGAGCATGGGAGGGCAGAGTTGACAAACCCAGTTGCTAGGAAGGCAGAGTGGTATCAGGTGTTTTCAATAAAGTCTTTGGACTTGGATACAAGAGCTTAATAAATCCAGAAACCTTTATGATTTTTCAGCATCATCCACTGAATGTGTCTTAAAATGTCAAGCATCAGAAAACCCAGAACTGGTCAAAGAATTCTCTAGAAGAGTAATAGATGGTACTAACTGTGATGGGGTAGACAGTTTTGGCATCTGTGTGGCTGGAGTCTGTCAGGTTAGTTTACATGAGTGTCTAGGGAAACAGAAATCTGCGACTGTTGATTTTGGGCATCATTGACTGGCAATCTGACATGTCCTCGCGATTTTTTATTTTATATTAAGTTTCATACTCTTCTGTCTTTTTTACTTATCAAAAGATTCAACTAAACCTTAGGCAAGTTTCGCAAATTTTCATTGGGGATTTTGAATTTGATTCAGTCACAGAAATGTTTCTTGTACCTAGCTTTATTAAACTTAAATTGAAAATTTTAAAATGAGCCCCAGATTGTCAACAGCTATTTGAGACTTTGATGATTTAAAAATGTAATTTTATTTTTAGCAAGTAGGATGTGACAGAGTGATAGGATCATTCATGAAGGAAGATAAATGTCGTGTTTGTGGGGGTGATGGCTCAACTTGTAAAACCATGTCTGAAATCTTTGATCAGAAAAATCTCAAAGTAGGTTAGTGATATCCAAAACCCCTTTTTTCCATTCCATCATTTTGTGGCTCTGATCAGAACTTGTGAAACTAAAGATTTTAAAATTCTCTGGCATACCTTACATATTACAATGTCCAGATATGTTTTAGAATCTACTTTTCTGAAAAACGTCAACATGCAACTTATCTTAATAGACATAACTTATAAACACAATTGATTACCAGAACAAAAACTGTAGATATTGTTATTGCTTTGTCAACCAGTACACAAGGCTTATACACAAGCTCAATGCTTCTTTCTCTACATTTGGAGAGTTTATTGGTTTTTTTTAGGGCTACATAAAGTGGTTACCATTCCTATTGGATCAACCAATATAGTGGTACGAGAACTCAGAAATAGCCTCAGTTATTTAGGTAACTATATCACAAAATTTATAATGTTTCATTTGATTTTAATGTAGATGAAAATTGTTGCTGTGAAAGATTTGTGTCTGTATTCAGTATTTTATCTTGAATGTATACTGTATAATTGTGAATATAATGCACATTAAAATGTCACACTGTAATCACTTATTGTATCTTAGTTATATCTGTCACGCTCTTGGTATGAGTTCTTTAATAATCCTTTTCACCATTCATTTTGATCTGTTTGTTTTTTTTTCAGTTGTAAAGAATGGTGCTGGTAAATTTTATATAAATGGTTTAAGTAAATCAACCAATGATAATTCAGAAAATAATATTGCTGGGACAACGATAAGATATGTTAAAAAACCTGATCGCCGTGACGAACCAGAAACATTGTCAGCTCTAGGACCACTTAATGAAACACTTCAAGTAGATGTGAGTATAACATGGATATAACAGGTTATATAGAGGCGGTTGAATGCTGGCCCTAACAGCACTGGTTGTGGCATCAGAAATATTCTTATCTTGAGGGCTGTTTTAATCCACAGCACCTAATTGCCCAGCAAATGTCAATTCATATCACTGCAAACTAAGCTATTCCAATACATAGATTTAACAATTGTTCTTAGAAGTCATAGCATTTTTTTTATTCATTTTGGAATTTGGTTTGGATAAAAAACAATTTCAGCAGTCAGATACCACTATCTCTGACAGTGACAGTCTGATGTGAAATATTTCTGTTCTGTTCTTAACCATGACATAATCTGATTCTATTGCTAGTTGATGATCCAAGATGGCAATCCAGGCATCCAGTATGAATATTCTGTCCAGAGATCATTAGTCCATCACGCTGAGAATCCTAAACTTCGATACACATGGATCAATGGAATCTGGACAAGATGTTCAAAAACTTGTGGACAAGGTAAAATTTTACATTTCTTTCGCCCAATTTCATAATAAATGAATTGTTGATTTCATGTCTAAATCTGGAAGGAAGAACTATATAAGGATGATGATAAAACATAATGAAATGAATTTAGATTACTTAAGAATTATACAGCAAATGGAAGGAACAGGCTTTAATCATACTGAAAATTCAAATAGATCGTATCATGTAACTTCCCACAATTTGTTCAATGTATTTTATAAATTAATATTATTATTATAGGTCTACAGATTAGAGCAGTATCATGTATAGATCGTCAGTCTGGTGTATCTGTTAGCAACGACCTCTGTGACATCAGATTAAAACCAGATGGCCGTCAAGTCTGTAGACAACAAGATTGTCCGGAGGATAGAATTGGATATAGGTAAGACAATAGTATAAAAACAGTTACAGAGCTTCCTGTTTTCAGAAATCAAATCTCATATTGAACAAAATTATTTGGAATGATGATTATATCTGTCACAAATTATGGGATAGAATAGCTACTCAATAACATGTAATATGTCTCAATTATAATTTCAGTTGGGTGTTAGGCCATTGGGGAGAATGTTCATCAGATTGTGGTATAGGAGAGCAGACGCAATTAGCATATTGTCAAGAGAAGGGAACTATGGGTAAAGCAGTTTATACCGATGATGATCTGTGTTTACGATATGTTGGCCCTAAACCAGATTATAAACGTGCTTGTGAAGGAGATATTAGTTGTCCTCATTGGACTTCAGGACCTTGGTTAGAGGTAAGCCATTTTTCGATCATGCATTTATTAGGATAGATTAAGAGTAACTATGATCAACACCATAAGCCTCTTAGGAAGCAGGAGATGATTTTGTAGATTAGTTAATTCTGTTAATTTTTGTCCCATTTCTCAAAATTATGATAATAACTTAGTCAGGTTTACCTGTAACATTTTGACAATGGTAGACTAATCAACTACATTACATGTTTCAGTGTAGTGTCACATGTGGATTTGGTAGACAGACCCGTCAAGTCTTTTGTCAAGAAGATCCACCCAATTCCCAAGAAGAGCCAAAACAAAGACCTCATGAACTGTGTGCTCATGAGAGCAGACCTACACGACAGAGACTATGTACTAGGAGTCCTTGTAGTGACGGCAGCAATAGAAATTATCTGGAATTTGAGGTGAGGTTTAACTTCTTGCCAATCATATTTTAACACTTATATTTGAGCAAAGATATAGGAACACATCCAAGAAAGAATCAATATTTGAAAATTAGTAGTCCACTTTATTTTTAGGAAACAATATATATTTGGCATGTATTTTTTGCTTGAAATTTTCAATTATTCTTTTTCAACTAATAACCTAGGTTTTTGCTTTGAATTATCCTTATAAAATAGATCTTGAGATATCTTAGAAACTGAGTTTTGCTGTTGATTTGTCTATATATGCTAGTCACGTTTGAATATAGAACCACCTTGAACCATGAACCATGAAAATATTTTAGATTATCTTAAGAAAGTGTAGTTGTATTCCATCTAGTACACTAGCACCTGCCTTCATCTACTTAACCAGTACTCTCTCCTACATGTTGGTCCATGTTGTTTGTTTATTTAACTTTTTCATCCGGATTAACATAGGTTTATAAGTAAATTTCTGTGTAGCTAAGATGTAAAATGGAATGGTCCCAGGAGGTTTTCAGTATTGTTGCATTCAATCTATTGGTCTGCTTAAAAGAGGCAATGTCATGCAGTGGGCAATAGACCAAATTGAAGCTTTCGTCCATTTCCCACCTTTCACAAATCTCTTTTCATCTTGTACAAACTACTACATTCTAACTATTTCTCATACCTGCATCCATAGGAGGAAAATGTTAAAAGATTTCAAGACATCAACTAGAATGAGTTTTGTGACTCATCTTAACTACAGGTGTCCATAAGAAAGGGGTTATGTAGCAAAATCGGTCAGATTCTTTGGAGCTTGCTTAGTTACTTGAAAGCATGGTGGTCATGGGTTCTAATCTCTATTTGGTGACCTTGAATCAGCTTAGGAAAAGCTGGATCTGAAAGGATCCTTGTGTAAATGGGTTTGGATAATCCAGGAAAAATCAATTCCAAGAAGTTTGGCCAAGAACTGTTGGTAGAAAGGACTTTAAGGAATCTAAGATGGTCTCCTTCTGTTAAATTGTTTCTTTGTTTCTTTTCACTAAGGTATTCTGGCCAGTTTGCTATTGGTCCCACACACTGAAACCACTCTCACACCTAATAATTATATCAATTTAAACTAACACTGACTAATATCAATAAACATGATAGGAGAGGACTGGTTGTTTATTTTAACAAGACTATCTATAGCACTGATCGCCCAGTGACCTTCCATTCAATAGTTTATTTAACATTTCTAGTGTCAGGTGATCAGGTTAAGTTTGTATCCGAATCAGACAGGTGGCGTTGGTGTAATCCATACTGTAACTAACGGTGATGACCACCCAACCTTAAGGCCAGTCTGTGATATAAAACATAGCTTATACATAACTTCAGACATAGTTTCACATGGGAAACACACTGGACTGTTCACCATTTGTATTTTCTCTGCGGCAGGGTGAGAGCCAAGAAGATAAGCCAACCCATCAAAGCATAGTCATTGGCAATTAAAGCAACAAATCTGCAACTGCAAGTTGCAAGTTGCAAGTTCAAGTCAGTTTATGACCTCAAGGCAAAACATTTCTAAGGCTACTGTCAGTTTCATTCAGCCTCATTGCGCTCAACTCCTTTAACAAGTTTATGCATCACTGAGTGATGAGCTTACTTAGCAATTCCACTGTCAGTTTACAATATAGCAGTGTTTTGACTATGGAGATGCGTTGTGTCTAGTGTAATACCCAATACCTGTAATTTCTCAGTCAGAAGTGAATGTGCTAAGCAACAAGTTACCAAAGCCCTTATCAGGAGCTTGACCTTAGTGATTTGACTGTTTTAGCAGTGACCACCCAGCCTTCCAGCATTCGACAGTACAGAAATTTACTCATCTTTTAACACCTCATCTATAAACCATACTACAGTATAAAACAACACAGAGTTTTATTTGACCATCTGTTGTTTTATTCCAGCTTTCACTGGTTTGTGAAAAATTGGTTAATAATGATAATACTAACTAATAATATTGATGTTTTTTGCACTATGAATAGGTCAATACCAAGGATTGGTTTTGATGAGCAACTTTATTTTACATGTTTGTTTATTGAACCATGCTAGAGAGTTAAGTACTCACTAAAGAGGATCATGGTTCTGAACCTTTTCAATTCCTAGTACTCTTGACTAAATTAAAACACTTATAATACCCCCTCACCCACCAAGAGCAAAATGAAATCGGTGTACACTTCAGACAAAAACTGTAGATTGTCACTGAGTGAACAGGAATGTTTGCTTCTACTGCAATTGTCAAGTCATAGGACACTGTTAAAAACTCTCAGGTTCCCCTTTGGTGCTTAATGGTACTCCCTAAAAGTACTACTATCCCAGTGATTCCCAATTAGCCAATTAGGTAACATATGATTGATAATATCAACATTACATGTAATGCAACAAAAATCTTGCTCATTTAAAAACCATCAAGGGTGATAAATGGCTGTTTTCAAATGTTCTTCTATCTCATTTTAATGTTATTTATAGTTATTCATTCTTTTTGTGGAACTTGGTACATAAAATTACTGTCAGTCTGTACTTTCTTTAAGGTTAAGATAACTGATTCCGATTTCAACATGTCAAACATCTTCAGAAAGTTGTAAAAACAGACAGGAGTTAAATGTAACAGCCAATTGAAATAATATCAATAAATCAAGGTTGTAAAAATAAAAAGGAGTAAGATGTATCAGCCAAAATAAATAATATCATTATTATTAGCCTTGAAAAACAGATCTGGAAATTTGTAACGATTTTCAAACAGCTGAAATTTCTGTCACAACATGAGGTGTTCAATAGAAATAATATACTTGAAAAAAATCAGAAAAAAATATTCCCACAGATAGGATGGTGTTTCATAAAAGGATGCATACTGCAAAATTGACCGATGAGATTTCCTGAAGTAACAAAAGTCATTGAAATTATGCTAGGTTTTATATTAATAATAATTTTATAAAATTTGTGTCAAGCAGGTTATAGTCATCTAAAGTTTAGGTTTATCAGCTGAAAAAGCTCAAATTCATTTATCTGTAATAACTGCACACAATTATATAGATAACAATTACTTTAATAAATAACTTGCGACATTTCGACGATGATGCTTTCGTCATTGAAGTTATTTATTAAAGTAATTGTTATTCATATGATTGTGTCCAGTTATTCATACGCCAGTTACTAAATGCCACTCAAGGAAGATATCTGTAATACTTTTCAATTTTGCAAATAATGTAACAAGCATGGTCTGCATAAGTGACTATCAGGGTCCAGTTGTTCATCTAGTTGTTATTTTAACAATGGCATTATATTTAACCATTGGTTAACTAAATTAGACTGTTTTTCAATGAATTATCTCATTCTGTAAAGTGACTAATCATGATCTTTATATCCCAATCAAGTCCAAAGCAATAAGATAAGATTTTGTTAATAAAGCTTAACCAATTCCATCCTTCATTTCAGGAGAGTGGAGAAATCATAGCTCATTGTTCAGCAACATTGTATGGTTGCTGTAGTGATGGGAAAACAAGGGCAGAGAACTGGAAGAAAACTAATTGTGGTCAGAATAAAGGTAAGAAATCATTATTTTAGGGTGGAGGGCAGACGTGTTCAACCAGATCTTGGCAGGATTGAGATCATCCCGACCTTGTTGGCATTCTCCATTGATTTAAATTGAATGAGGTGAAGATATTATAATTGAGATAAATGGCCAACCAGAACTGTTCTTTTACAATTAATTTTGGGTGGGGTCAGAATGATTTAATATGATTAGCTCAGTGTATTTAAATGCCATCTATAAATTCATTTAATGTATTTTTTGAGTGGTAATTTATGTCCAATAACCAAATTTCAGAGTTTTGTTCATTTTGTGTTGTGTTTTTGTCATTTTTTATTTTTTATCTAGCTTAATTGAATGGATTTTTTCTCACCTGATGAATTTAAATTTGTGTTGGTGTTGGTGGTGTTAAATTATCAAAAGCTTAAAAAATTTCAGAAGTTTGTTCAGTATGTGTTGTTTTAGTCATGTTTGTTTATATGTTGTGTGCTTGTTGTTTGTAGTCCTTGTGTCGTCTCATTTTCTTAGGCTTGTTAAACACATCATTTACTTTTTGGTTCATCATTCGCTTTAAGCATGTGTTGGCTGTAGAGATACCCGTAAATAGGATTAACATGGTAGTGAAAAGTGTCCAAAAGTTGGAAATCAAAGCAATACTGTATTTCAGAGCATTGGACCACCCTATCTGTATAGCATGTAGTTATGTTTGTATTCTATAAGTTTCTAATTGTTTGTTTATTGCACTTTAATTATCTAATTGGTTCTTCCATGCCTTAAACAACTTCAGTTAACTGTTAAACCCTAATATCAAACATCAAAGCACCCCAAATTTCCACAATCTTGCCTTGAAAACGAGTTTTTTAATATGTCTATAGGTTTTGTTTATTGTGATGTTTATATGTTTATGTGTTATTTATTGTTTATTTGTGCATCTGCTTAAATCATCTATATCTTATGCTCTGTTAGTTTGATGTTATAGTTTATGTTCAGTTTGTCGTCAATATGTTGTGTTTTGTTTGTCTGTTTATTCTTTAATATTACTTACATTCTCCACAAATATCCTTGGGTCAACTGATGTGATTCAGCCTGTGATCCTACATAGGCAAAGCTATAATTATGTTCTATGTTATTATTTCTTCTGTTACATAATGACGTAGAAAAAGAATTTAACAGAATAATCAAATGCCATAATGCAACAGATAATTTTGGTGCATCCAGTTATTGACATTGAATTGATACAAAGACACTGTACATACATTACATGTATTATAATATATGTGGCAGCCCCAGTCTATATTTCAAATATTCATATTGAAAACAGTATTATCTAAAACTTCATCTCTAAAAACAGTAGTTTTGTCTTGTAACAAATCACCAAAAACAGATCAAAGCTAGTTTTATCATAGCTAGCTTCACCTATTTCTATTTTTTACAGAAACTTCCAACTTTAATTTACAATTCATCAACTTTTCACAATTGACCCAGATAATCTCTCTGTATCTGGTTACTGTTTCTAATGAAATAAGAAATGAATCTTTACTACACAAGATTATCATTATTCAGTAGAGATTTTAACTTTGTTTTTCTCATAAATACTGACCACAGCATCAAAGTTTTAAAGCATTTGAATCATGATATGTCTAGCAACATAGGCAGAGTTGGGGGGGGGGGGGGGGGGAGTTGGTCCGGAGGCACTGCTGCTTCTTTAATTCCATAATAAGTGTATTTGCAGACCAAACAAATTCACAGATTCTCAAGAGACAACTGCTCACTGAACAGGTGCTCACTGGACAGATTTCCAATTGACAATTACTCACCAAATTTTCAAATTTCTTATCATTTTACAAAGGGAAAGAAATGCCTGTATGCCCCATTTGACAATTCTTTGGCCCTTACATGGATCTCCCTCTTATTGATTCATAGAAATGCCACTGCAGTAGTGTATACACCTTCCATTGCAGAGCATGATTTTTTTAAGAATTGGCTTCTGTCTGACATCCCAAATTCTGTTTCGTTATCAACACGGCATTTCTTGTCTTAAAGCAGGAAAGTTTTTTGGGTATCTAGTTCAATTTTTCGTACTCAGACAACCAAGCGTGTAATATTATCTCATGTTTTGAATTATCTTACCGTCTGCTGACAACTTCAATCATCTAAAATTACCTCCTTGATAAAAGATCTTGGATATCAAGGGGGGATAATATTATGTTTCATTCATCTGTTTTTATACTTTCTCTATCTGTCTATCATACAAATCGTTAAAGGTTAAATTTCAAGGTCTGATGTTATCGAGTTCAAAGGAAAGATTTGGTTAAAAAAAATGATGTTTTTTAAATGATATAAAATGAATAAAGGAAACGCATATATTTTACAAGCATAAAACTTTAGTTTGAAATCTCTTTTGTAGATAGCTGGCCCATGATCAATTTTTTTGTGGCAATGCTCTTGCTGTTGAATCATTTGGATCAATTGAAGTGTTTCACTCAAGGTCATAAGACTTTCCCATGCTTGACAAGCAAAATTTCAAGAAAATATAACAAAAATATCATCAGAATTCAAGTGATTCAACAGCCACACCTTAAGATTTGATAATTGTTATGTTCATTTGATGTGACTACAAAATTCTGAGTGAAAATCTTGTGTTACAAAGGAATACTAATAAAATGTAAGTAGGTCCTTATGGTCCATTGCAAACATGATGTAAGACGTGGAACTCCTAGAGAGTTAACCATTTAAACAAGTGTAAAATTTGATGTAGTTAGTAATTGAGACACAAGGGTTAATGTTAAAACTATTATTATAGTATATTTGTAAGGTGGAAAACAAATTATTACTTCATTACTGTCAAAGTGTTAAAGTCATTAGTATATTAGGCCATGGTCACATTCTAAAAACTCAAAATGATGTCTTTCATGATGGAAATAACTTACAAATGTGTTACTGCAAGGTCACTATCAATGTACTGAAAAAGATCCAGAAGATCTATCAATTGATCAGATCTGATTAGATCTAGCCGTGGCCACATTCTAAAACCCAATTGATGGGAGACAAGATCATGATCACAATCAATATACCAAACGGTTAAGAAAATCCTTTAATTGGTAAGGTCATTGTTGCTCAAGGTTGTTCTGAAAACAATGTCCCTGTAGTTCATGAAATAAAAAAGGAAAGCAAAGTGAGCTTTCACAACTCAAAGTTTCAAAATCTGTACCAAGCCTTAGTCTGTTATAATATTTAGTGATGACAAATTCATTTTATTGAACTGTTTTCTATGACTCAGTCAATTGCTAAAACACAGAGGGTGCTAAAACATGGAGGGCAGAAGATAGAATTGTTTATCTAACTCTGTTTATAGGCCCACATTAATCTGAAAGAATATCCTTTAGAGTGATGAAAAGTAGTTCTTCTGACTTCGTTAATGGCAAAAACACTTCAGATTAGTGGGAAACTTGTCAAATGGAAACTTGTTTTTACATGTTTTTTCTTGATGTTCACTGAATAACAGACTCTTAAAAACAATGTTGTTTTTTCAGCAGACTGATTGTCGGTATTTCATCATCTGTTAAAACCACGCCTTTTTATCAGGAAGTAGATGAGACTATGGTTATCAAAATATGGTCATATGAGGCAATGAATACAATTTTTTCATACAAGAGATGTTGCTTGAACTCATAATATTGAGATGTATGTGTTAATATTTACAAAACAAACCGTATGTTAAGGTACATTGAGTGGTCAGATTGAAAATCATGCAACTTGAATATTTATTACCGGTTTACATACTAAAGTGAAACACTGTAAAAAATATGTAATACTTATATACATTAACAGAGACATTGTGAACCATTAAACAACCCCCTCCCACACCCCCTCTTTAACTATTTTTCAGCCTATGCACCAATGCTATAGGGTACACATGTCAAGAGATTTGTATCTGAAGGAAAAGAAACATTGAATATTCAACTGGTGTTTAGAGATAAGGCCTGACACATTTTATGAAATATGCAAACTGTTACCATATGTGTTATGATAAGATTTTTATTAAGATTTTGTTATTCTTTACTTGCGTGAATACTTTGATCATACTGAATATGGTAAGATAACTGTCATGTATACCATAAGTGCTCAAGAAAGAAAGATAGTGACATTTTTTACAAGAATAACAATTTAGATTCACAATGATCCTTTCTATCCATTGATCCTTGGTCAAACCTCATTGCATTGATCTTCCTGGATTATCCATACCCATTTACAGCTGGGTTTATTGAAAGAGGCATTGATCTTCCTGGATTATCCATACTCATTTACAGCTGGGTTTATAGAAAGAGGCATTGATCTTCCTGGATTATCCATACTCATTTACAGCTGGGTTTATAGAAAGAGGCATTGATCTTCCAAGGATTATCCATACCCATTTACAGCTGGGTTTATAGAAAGAGGCATTGATCTTCCTGGATTATCCATACCCATTTACAGCTGGGTTGATTGGAATAATGACTTTGTCAAGGTCACCAAAATTAAACACACAACCCAGATGGAGTAAGAAAATCTGGTGATAATGCTATTTTGCATCCTCTTTTAGTATCATTTAGCTCTTTTACTTCATGATCCCTAGTTTTTTTGCTCTTGATAAATTAAAATTCTTGGCATATTTGACGAATGCATCATTTAAAATTGTAATCAAATTGGCTCTTTTGAGGCAAACTACGGGTGATGCTCTGAAGTCTGTCTAGGTGGTTAAAAATGCATAAAGCCCACTTGTGTAAAAATATTAATGCATTACCCACCAATTATCATATCTTAATTTTCTGGTTCAGATAGCCACATCAGTGTTTAAAGGGTTAACAATATATTTACTGAGTTTTTGAAATGATTGGTCAGCATGTTCTGATCACTGTGACATAGTTAATGTGTTTACCATTCCTGGGAGGGGTGAGGTTCTACAAGATTTTATGGCTAGATAAGAGAGGAAGTTGTTTTTTTTTTTTGCCGTGCATGGCTGATAGCAAGACAGATTTCACACAACAGCTTTTAACATGTGTTTACAGATTGACTTTATATGTCAAATATATCCAGACTGGAGACAGTGATTCAGAATTCATATTTGTCTATCTTTATGAGGCAACAATGGCGACTCCAAATTTCTACAGCTGCCACTGTGAAACAACATCCAAAAAGCCATGTTGAAATTTATGCTGACACAAGACATTTAAGGACATTAAGCATAAAAAATGTGAATAAACCAAGCAAATATTCTTTGTTCCTCATATTGACAACACTATTATTTAATAGTGGTCTGTATCATCAAAAATATTTAAATTGCATAGTAGAAACGGCCATTTGAACTGTCTGCACTTAATTGCCTAAATCCTAGCCTCGAGATATTTCTATTAGAGAACCTGTCTCAAAATGTCTGTCATAAAGCTTTCAGTTGATACAAAAATGCACCTAAATCTGCCATTTGACAATTCCTGAAATTGTTCAGATTTTATGTGGAATTTTTCTATGAAATTCAAGACTGAAAATGGGTGTTAAGTTATTGAAAAGAATTTAGATCATCAAGATAGCTTTCATAAGACACTTTTAAATCTACATGATGTAATCAAAGATTGATAGCAGCTCTTGTTTTATTTCAATAACAGTAAATGTTAATGGCCACCTTCCTCCTCAATAAATTTTATGCTGTATGAATTTAGTCAGTCATGCTCTAAAGCACAGATATTTATTGCAATGTGATGTGTTTCAGGCATGATTCTAATTATACAAATGAATATGATTTTTATGAAATGAAATAATTAACGCAGCGTAAGTCTTAAACATTAAGTAAAATAAAAGTGAAGCCTTTCAACCCTAGTGACCAGTTTGCCGGCCAAACTATACGCAAATATACCCAGCTGGTAAAGAAGCCATTATCAAGTGACATTACTTAAAGTTAAAATCCTTGGAGTTCAGGGTATATCATGAGGTTTTATTTCATTTTCACCTAGAACTGTCAAAGATGAAGGGATTGGATGAGGTTCACATCAAGTATTTCAGTTTGAAATATTAGATGAAGATCTAGTGGTTACTCAATAACCAAAAACTCTGAAGTTTTCTTTGTTTATGAAAGATTTTTGTTTGTTTAACCCAATTGAGACAAAAATTTAATGCTGTCGAAAATTGAGGACATTTTTTTCAAATTTAAATGATCTAGCAAATGTGTATTGCATTTATGTATATTACATTATACACATTCAAAAAATAAAGTGTATGTTATTCTGCATTTAAGGCAATACACCATAATTATGCAGTTTGTTTTGATTTGGTTCAGGTCATCTGAACAGATGTGTTGGTTTCTGCTTGGTCTGCAATATGGTTGAAGTATTGCTGTTTCAAGTGTATATTCCAGATTTCTGTCTTACCATCTAATTCAGTAGGCAGATTTCTATTTTCAATAAAAGCTTTAACAAACCACATGATGACCTTTTAAAGGGGTATTATGATGTTTTCGTTGGTTGAAAAGAGTTTTTCTCAAATTATTAAAACAATACACAACAATTTAGACAATGTGTCCCTTAACTTATCTGAAATTTTAATAAAAAACAAATTTGTAAAAAATAACATCAAAACTATTAAAGAAGTTTATGTTAATTCTAAGTTCGTTATGCATTTCGGTAGGTGGTAAATGAACATCTTGCACACTGCCTCTTTAATGGATGATGAAATAGCATTGGATATGAAAGAAGATACGCTCATATAGAAGCACTGGCCTAGTTTTTAATTCACACATATTTGAAGGAAAATCAATTTACAGAAAAACTTTTTACACATACAGTATTATGTTAAGATTTAAAATTTCTCTCAATAATCACAGCTTGATGTTGAAATAAGATGCAGAAAATTAATTTTCACTAAAGTACACACAATATGTTAAGAGTTTGAACGTACTGAAAGAGGGAGTGATGTAGACTAAACATTTTAATGAAATGTGTAAAGAATTCAGTGTGAACATGAATTTTTCATAGCTATCATATAAGTTGATAAGAGAATTACTTCAAGATGAACCTAGGATAAAAAATAAATGTTTTTCTAATAATCTTGAATTCTTGCTGATAGACTTTCTGCTGATAATGTCATCAGTGATTGTGGGTATATCATGTTGTTATAACCAAACACCCTGATCAATAACTAGACAAAACCATGGTTCATAATATTCCACTGTTATTGTGCAAAATTTTGGAAACAGCCCCAAATTCTGTCTTTTTGATGTGTTTTGTTATTGAATGACATTTTGAAATGTTTTTCACTCTTAGACTTTAGAAGAGAACTTCCCTAGTTCAGAACCACAATGCACTCAGCCCCATTGTTAGGGTGGTGTTCACGGGGACTGGGCCCCAACAAGTGAGAATCTTACCCCAGCAAACCTTCAGTTCAGTCAATTTTGATTGATTTGCAATGTCTTCAGACAAAACCAAAAAGATGTTACAGTGTTTAGCATGTTAGAAATGACTTTTCTGGGCTTCTAATTTTAAATTTTCAAGGGGGAAGGCCTGCAGCTTATAAAGCCCCACCCACACCACCTTGGTAAAATATCGGACCCCAGCTACAATTCATTCCTAGAGACAGGGCTGAATGGAATACAAAAATATTTCAACAGAACTTCAGAATTAAGATGTACATTAGACCAGTTAAGATATCTGAGTGAGACTTCGATTTATTAGTTAATGATAAATCACTCTCAACATCACCAGTCATGTTAGACAAATTTCATACTCTTTAAAAACTTTGAGTGTGAAATCAGATTCCCAATTATCTCAATATTGCCGATTAGAATCTTCTCAAATTTGGCAGACATTTTATTGATTCGTAGCTCAAATCAGAATTTATCATTTTATAAAAATTTGTCAATATTACTTTTCAGGAAATTCAGATATCAGATAAATAAATAAAGACTAGATCTTGGCTCCGAAAATCTATCTTAGTCTGAATTAAACCACAATAAACTCTAGTGTTTATTTGTAAAGTGAGTTAAAGATGATGTAACAATTTTTCCCTTAGGGATTTCTGACTTTATACCAGTATAAGAAAGAGAATAAAGTATTGAGTATATCTTGTATAAGCAAATAAATTTATTACCTCCGTAGACACAAACACATTCACAGACCGATGACGTAACCAAACTTTGGAAAAGGATTGGAATTAGGGGCTAATTTGCTTAAAGATAAACACAAATAAGCAATTAAGTTTGTTTGGGATCTTGAGGCAACTGTCTGATGGTGTAAAATGCGACATTCATTATGTACTTTCATGAGGAAAGAAGGTTTTCAAAATCAAAATCAAAATTGTACACATCCAGGAATTATTTAAAATGACATAAAGCAGGTAATTTTATTTCTTAGGTAGAATGGTTCGAATGAACACATTATAGCCTTCATTTCCTACCTTTTGGACTTTTCATACCCTAATTCTACAGTAAGATTAATCACTTGTAGTTCACGGTAGACATAGAACTCAATCCATTACTGATATTTAAACAAAACACTATTATTTAGAATTCTCCAAGAGCCATCTTAGGTAACCCCTGTGGTGTTTGCTGGAACCCTAGAGGGTATTAGTACCCCGGGTTTGAGAACTCGGGTATTATATCATTCATTACTTCTAGTTACTGTTTCTTGCACCTCTAAAGTTGACTTCTCATAATAATGTTTTAAATTGTGTATTGACAAAACAAAGTTTAAATCAGAATATAATGTAGGCCTATTAAGAGGAATGTCTTCCTTTATTTCAAGTGATCTCCATATGAAAGTTGTCAGTCAGCAGAATAGAAGAGTCATATTTTCATTTTAAACATTCTCAATACCATGTAAAGGAAACCTCAGCTATAAAACTCACTCCTTTAATCTAAATCTTAACATTCCTGGCATTGATGTTATTGGTAGATCAGATTCTTGGTACGGCTGAGTATAAATTATTTAACAAACATTTCATTTATCTCAGAGGTTCCTGGAATTCTGAGACAAACCAGAAAATATTGGACATTCCTTGAAAATTTACTAAGCTTTTAAATTTGACTTTTGATGAACTCTTGTTGAAATTGACTCAGGTGTAAAATGGTTAAATATTTTGTCAATAAAAGTTGTTCAGTTGAAAGTGTATGTTTTATTTGATGGACACATTAAGCCCAAACTTCTGTTTTTAATTCTTAATTGTTTATTTGCATATTTTTAGGTCATTTTAGCCAGATCAATTTAATTTCTTGTCTTTCAAGACTAAATTTAGCCTTTTTTTTTTCCTTTCAATTCTGGTAATTGAGGTAAGAAGATCTGTGAAAACAAGAAAAGAGATTGGTCTGTCCTTAGCTTTTTTTGAAAATAAAAACCAACTAGTATGACTTTGATTTGCTTCCTAAAGATATGTGACATAACTGTTGCTCTTCCTTCTGTATTATTTCAAAAGATACGGACAAATTCGAGGATAATTCAGAACCATCAGAAATTTCAAGTTGGATTTCTACTCCAATCAACATTCAAATTATCATTTTGTATTAGATCTCAAGAATTTGTAATACGTGTGATGTTCAAAAAGTTAGAAATTTAAAAAGTGCAAAGGCTCCAAAATTCTGTAGAATTTTATCTTTGAATATAATTTGTATGTTTATTTTATTGAAAGTGATGTTTAAGAAAGTTACAGATAAATTATTTATATAAGATTTCAACACATGTATATAATACAGTTTATTTTCTTGTGAAATCTTAGATTTAGTTTATTAAAACTGTACATAGAATCATGTTGGCATGACCTGAAATGTCACCTACCACTGGCTTCATATATGGTGTATATTTAACATAGGAAATTATCAAATTTTTGTAATCATATTGTAAAATTTGTTAAAAGATGAATTACTGATGTTTGTGATATAAAACGTGTGAGAATTCCAAACATGAAATTATGGAATATGACTAATTCTGCTAGGACCTCATCAGTTTCCCTGCTCATGGACTCCAAGAAGCTTTTTTCCACCAGTTTTTCAAGAATAACTTAGTTTTGTAGTAGGAGTTACTCTTTTTTGACCCCCAAAAATAGAACACCTGTTACCCCACAGAAGCTTCAATTCCACTCTTCAGTTCCAAGTAGGCTACACTCTTACCCCTTAAAGCCTCCTCTAACCCTACTCCAGTCTCACAATCACCATGACTCCACCAAGAAACCCACATGCCACCAAGAAGTCCCCACTCTCACCCAGAAGTCCACATGCCCAAAGAAGTCCCCACTCTCACCCAGAAGCCCACATGCCCCAAGAAGTCCCCACTTCCCCTAGAAGTCCTCATGACCCGTACATGTCGCCATAAGCCCATTAAGCTTCCACTCCCCTGTTCCATACATCAAGACACTCTGACATTATCCTACCACACCTTAATCCCACTCCTCTCCACTAAATGACTTGATTACAGTGATTGTTAGTGGTATAGTGATCAGTTGTTTATAACAACTATTCAAACTATTATATACATTCACCCTATGTTTATTCTTCAAGTCTCCACTTATTTCTTTGTAATTCATACTCTCTATTTCAACATTTTCAAAATTTTATCACATTGCGTTAAAATTTAACAGAAAACACTTGTTTTATTTCAGAAAACATAATAAAAAAAAATTTAAAGTATCAATTTTAGGTTCAATTGGTGAAATGTTTTATCAGCATTTTAGAGTTTGTGTAGAACATTCTTGATTAATAGTTTTAAGAACATATAACATTGCAATATCTTATAGTGTTTTATGTTTTAAAATTAATCTCAAATTCAAATATTTCACAAAAAAAGAATATAGTGTTGTTAGAAATGCAGGCTGCTTTTTATAAATCATTCCGTTCTCGGCGAAGATAAGGCCGTTTAAGGAATTTGCCCATTTACATTACAGTAAACTCAAGAGATCTGAGAACGGAACGGTTCTTCAGTTGTAGTTTAAATGAAAAGCACTCTCGGCACGATTATCTGTGGAATTCTTCTTGATGGAGTTAAAATTAATCCTTGTAGTCACCCTGATGTAATCAAAGACATCTGAATGTAATCAACAATTGCACTTAATAATGACAAAAATCTGCAGGGAAAAGGTGAAGGTCGCTTGTAAGGCATGAGCAGTACAGCATACTGGGCACCGTTATCGATTACATTACACTAACTTTGAGTATAAACAACAACAAAATAGAAGCTATTTCAGGCATACACAAAACCAGAGAGGGTTCTAAAAAGTTGTTTGTCAGAGACAAATAGGTCAGTTATTGGCACTCTTCCATGAAATTCACTGCACAACTTTGTCAAGGATGTTTAGATCATCTACTGTAAGACATCTATTGAACATGAAATTTCTCATTATAAGACTAATGTGTGGATTTGTGGATTTAAAACACTTCCTGAACAGAAGTGAGCAATCAACCACAAGAATATCCATTAAAATAGATTAGTAAGTTGAGAGGGTAACCAATTACTGAGGTATTAGATATTTTTCTTTGATCTTTTAGAGAGTAGGTCAGTTAGATATGAAGAAATTGATAATACCTATTTGTCAAACTGTTATATACTCATTAAAGATGGATTCCCATGGTTGAAAAAAATATTACATTCTTGAAGTGAGAAAGATGGTGGCTATTTGGATTTGTTGCTAAGTTGGCATATAGATTGCTCAGTTAGCAGATAGATTGCTCAGTTGGAAGATAAATTGCTCAGTTGGAAGATAGATTGCTTGCTCAGTTCGCAGATATATTGCTCAGTTGGCCGATTGATTGCTCAGTTTCTCAGTTGGCAGATAGATTGCTCAATTGGCAGATAGATTGCTCAGTTGGAAGATAGATTGCTCAGTTGGAAGATAGATTGCTTGCTCAGTTAGCAGATATATTGCTCAGTTGGCCGATTGATTGCTCAGTTGGCAGATAGATTGCTCAGTTGGCAGATAGATTGCTCAGTTTGAAGATAGATTGCTCAGTTTGCAGATAGATTGCTCAGTTTGCAGATAGATTGGTCAGTTGGCAGATAGATTGGTCAGTTGCTCAGTTGGCAGATCGATTGCTCAGTTGGCAGATAGATTGCTCAGTTAGCAGATAGATTGGTCAGTTGCTCAGTTGGCAGATAGATTGCTCAGTTGGCAGATAGATTGCTCATTTGGCAGATCGATTGGTCAGTTGGCAGATAGATTTTGTTTGCAGATAGATTCCATATTTGGCAATAGATGGAATTTCTCCCTCAAGGCCAGGAAGCTCTTGAAAATCAGCCTGGTGCTGGCTTTCAACCTGTTAGAATAATTTTTCACTTTCATCTTCAAGTTTATTCTTCATTTGACTTGTAACTAGCTTCCTGTAGAACAACTGTTTAATTGTGAAATAAATTAAAATGGAGTATACCAATAAAAAGGAATGTCGCATATAGGTGGGCCCGAACCCCTAAAACCATGCCCCCTTCCCCTTAATGTATAGATGAATGGTGAATTACTATGTAAGTGACCAATAAAAGATTGTAGACTCAAGGTGTGTCCAGATTATAAATAATATAGTATATACACTGGTCATCTTATTGTCATACTGAACAGATTTATAGGACATATTTCTCTATGTTTATTGTTATATATCAACCATCAGTTTGATAATATACAGTTTTGACTAGTTTCCTTCATTTTGTTTTCATCACATATTAGTGGCAAATGTTTCAGCCAAGGCTTCTTGAATGAGAATGGGTTTCTACAGTTTGTTCTAAGACTTCAATCATTGCCAGAGATTTAGAAAAATAAGACACACGTAAAAATCCCACCATCTCCCCTAATTTTTTTTTAGTGGTGTAGACAATTGATATTTACCAATTCCATGAAAATAACAACCATTTATTACAAGGTTTACAACTTAGGTTCTTGAAGATACTATCTTCCAGCTGGTCCTTGGCCAAACATCTTGGCAT